AAAGATAAAATAGAGAAAACCAGGGAAAACCAGGGAAAAAATGGGGAAAAAAAAGTGAAAATGGGGAAAAAGGGAAAAAGGGAGAGAAGGGGGAAAGAAAAAAAAAAATGGGAAAAACAGGTAAAAACTGGGGGAAATGGGGAAAAATGGGAAGAAATGGGGAAAAAATTGAAGAAATGGGGAAAAATGGGTGGAAAATGGGGAAAACCAGGGAAAAACGTGGCTCCAGTACCTGTGGTCAGGGATGTCCCTGTCCTCAGTCCCAGGGGATGTCCCTGTCCTCAATCCCTGTTCCCATGGATGTCCCCAGGGATGTCCCTGTTTTCTGGGATCTGATTCTGGCTGTCCCCAGACCCTGTCCCAGCCCCTGTTCCCAATCCCGATCCCATTTCCCAGATCTGATCCCAGATTTCCCAATCCTGATCCCATTTCCTGACAGGTCTCCCTGACCTGACCCCGGATTTCCCCGATCCTGTTTCCTGGCAAATCTCCTGGTCCTGATCCCGATTTCCCCGATCCCAATCCCAATCCCGTTTCCTGCAGGTCTCCCTGACCTGATCCCAGATTTCCCCAATCCCGATCCCAATCACATTTCCCAGCAGCTCTCCCAGATCTGATCCCAGATTTCCCCAGTCCTGATCCCGATCCTGTTTCCTGGCAAATCTCCTGGTCCTGATCCTGATTTCCCCAATCCCAATCCCGTTTCCCGCAGGTCTCCCAAATCTGATCCCAATTTCCCCAATCCTGATCCCATTTCCTGCACGTCTCCCGGGTCTGATCCCGATTTCCCCGATCCCGTTTCCCGCAGGTCTCCCAGATCTGATCCCGATATCCTCAATCCCCTTTCCCTCAGGTCTCCCAAATCTGATTCCATTTTCCCCAATCCCATTTCCCGCAGGTCTCCCAGATCTGATCCCAATTTCCCCGATCCCGTTTCCCGCAGGTCTCCCAGATCTGATCCCAATTTCCCTGATCCCGTTTCCCGCAGGTCTCCCGGGTCTGATCCCGATTTCCCCGATCCCGTTTCCTGCAGGTCTCCCAGATCTGATCCCAATTTCCCCGATCCCGTTTCCC